ATTTCATATAGTTATTATGTGTGTCTAAACTAGTTAAATTGCACGAAATTCTAGTTAGAAGTTGTGTATGGTATCAAATCAGGCTCCATCGATATCAGTACTATTGTGATCAATAATGGTGGAATAGATGTCGATAATCGTCACCGTCGCCTTCAACTTCATAGTGAAACACGTGAAATGTGCGTCTTCATTTTGCGTGACTTCTTTCATAGTGTATTTGTTCTTAATACGTATCTATTTCTGTTTCAGACCTATGTGCGATCACTTGATATCTCATGGCTCAATTGTAGAAATTTACATTTATATAGTCTATCCGGAAAGTTGTGCCACAAATAAGCATTGCAAAGGCAAGTTTGCCGATGTTGTCCAAGCTCGCATTGCTAAATATATTTCAAGTATTTCACTGAAACTCGAATTCGATGACAGAAGCTTTAGCCACCTTGCGTTGACCAAATGCAAGAAAGCCACTAGTTCATCATTATATTCTTTATTTCGATCACGGCGCGATGATCACGGAAATAAACCAAAAGGTAAAGATCTTTATATTTCATAGGTTTTTATATGTGTGGGCACTAATAGTTCCACTATCCGATTCTGAGAACTTATATTACTTAGGGCATCCCAAAATTAGTGACGCCGGCACTATAATAGTTTATATAAGGGTAGAGAAAATTTTCTTTCTATACAATCTGATAAAGAAAAGAATACTTTATTTGTCTATGCTATTTGATCATACTTCAACTAATATCACAAGAATAAAATTCTGATAAGAACCGTTTTTGTGTACAACTTCACTAATTTGTAAGGGAAATTAAGTAGCCACACTTTGCATTTCAGCTTTCAATTACTAAATAGGTTATATTAAAAGAAATAAAATATACTGCAAGATGCAGCGTGAAAAGCTCCACAATTTATTAAGAACAGTTTATTTTATATATGAAATAAAAAAGGAATTTCTCGTCATCCAGAAAAGCATAATTTTTTTGAAGCAATGAAAATTGGTTGCACAGAATTTTGCTTTTCTTTGAAAACAAGAAGTACATAATTAAAGTAAGCTGTACTTTGTATATTGTAGAGCTTTTCACGCTGCATCTTGTGATGTCTTTTGTTTTCTTTAAATAAAAGATATCAGGTGATAAAAAGATGAAATAAGAAAAACTGAATGCATCTTATATCAAAAAAAAAGTACCGTTTTCATGCGGTCGAGAATTGGTAGCTCAAAATTTTGTCCATTTTGAAAACAAAAAGTGCAATTGTAAAATAAGCAATCTTATGCAAATTGTAGAGCTTTTCACGCTGCATCTTGGGGTATATTTTATTTTTTAACATAACCTATTAAGTAGTTGATAGCGGAACTGCAAAGTGCGGCTATTTAATTTGTCTTACATACTAGTGAAGTTGTACATAAAAACGGTTCTTATCGAAATTTTATTCTTATGATATTAGTTGAAGTATGATAAAATAGCATAGAAAAATAGAGCATTCTTTTCTCTATCAGACTGTATAGAAAGAAAAGTTCCTTTACCCTTATGTAAACTATTATAATGTTGGCGTCATTACTTTTGGTATGCCCTAAGTAGTATGAAAACTCAAAAAGTTCGAGTGTTCTAGAATTTTGTTCTAGAATAATATTCAAATCTATAGTTTGGTGAACGAGTTAAGCCTAGTATTCAAAATATATTGAGCTCTTCAACTTCTGCGATTTTCATAAATCAAGAAATTGGAATTTGAACATATATCAGCGTAGTAGAAATATCTTGATAGTACACAGTGTATCAATGAAAAGCCGTTTATGAAATATTATGAGATATCATTCTCGACTTGCTAGCACTTCTGCAAATTTCAGCCGTTAAGGATCATGATCGATTTGTTTTCGTAAACTCATCTTTTTACATTGATATTTGAATAGAAATAAAAATGTACACGGAGTAAACATAGTTATTTATGAATTGGGCAGTGTTTTTTCTGAGAAATTTTCACTAATGATTCTTTTCGTGCTGGGTTGTCAATGTTCAATAATATCTACACATGCCGTGGAAAAGTGATGTATTCATCTTTTCACTCTATCAAGTTCGCATTAAGTTATAAAATATTCAGCAAAAAAAGTATTCAGCTTTTTTGCATCATATAGGAGATTTCAAGTGACATTGATGCAAGAAAATCCATTAATAAAGTGGTACGAAATTCACCAGTAGGTATACCGAAGTAGAAGTCAGCAAGACTATTTCTTTACTGTTATCATTATCGTTACCGGTCTGAACAGTCAGAGCAGATCGGATTGACCGGTATACTCGCATAAGTCATGCTGTATTTTTTCTCACCCAACAACAATCGAATCAATTGCTCGTGTAGTCATATCTGCGTTGTAATTACTACAGTAGTGATACAACCGCACTGTTATAGTACTTCTTACTTTTAATCGCCATAAGGGATTTTTCTGTCTGAATACCAATTGGCAAACAGAAAGCTTAATAGAACAATAACACCTGTGAAAATGCAACTTTCAAACTAGCTTTCACTCTAAAATTTCAAAACTAATTACCACAGAAAGTTTGAGCAAAACAACTCTTTTGCTCAGAAAAACCCAATTCATAAGACCACCTATATGTTCAAGCGTTGAAAAAAAAGAGCCGAGCGCCATCACCTACAACATCAGCTCATACACTAATCAACTACTTTACCATAAACAGTAGAGTGGATGTAATTATTAAAAAAATATCATAAGAAAACCGTCTCATAGCAAAGTTATTTTACTCTACAAGACAGCAACGTCATAATTAAGTGGAAGATTAGCATAACACAAAATATATATAACAAAGATTACGATGTGAACATTGATTAAACCGAAATATGAAGGACCGCAAGCTTGAACTAGCTCATTTCTTCACTGACTCTATTATATATCGTGTGACTAACCAATCTTTATGACTTCCAGCTCCGACATGCGACGATAAAAAGAAAAATCAAGATGAAACCGATGTCGACTGTGGCGGTAAATGTGCAACAAAAGGAAAGAAGTGCGACAATGGTAAGAAGTGTGGTAAACCATTCCATTGCCAAAGCAATGTCTGCTCCAACAGCCGATGTGTCCGTAAGTACCTTATTGTGTCAGAAAACCGAATACTTGTCTTGCTCGTATAGCTTCGAATTGTGATAATCGTTTGAAAGATCAAACTGAGACCGATGTCGACTGTGGGGGTTCATGTGCAGCTTTTGGAAAGAAATGCGACGATGCCAATGAATGTGCAATAAAATCAGATTGCAAAAGCAGCATCTGCTCAAACCGTCGATGTATCCGTAGGTACCTTATTGTATCAAAAAATCGAATACTCGTCTTGCTCGTATAGCTTTGACCTGTGATAATCATGTGAAAGACCGAGATGAGACCGATGTCGACTGTGGCCGCAAATGCACAGCTTGTGGCAGGAAGTGTGACGGTAAAAAGAAGTGTGACGTTCCATCAGATTGCAAAAGTAACATCTGCTTAAAGGGCCGCTGCGTCGGTAAGTATCCTACTCTTTCTAGAAACAGAACGTTCGTCTTGTTTCCATAGTTCTGACATGTAGGGATCGTGTAAAACGCTTGTTAGTGTGATCTCAAGAGGTGCCAAAGAGTGAAATCCACAAGTTCTAGCTATTACCAATTTATGGTATATTATCAGAGGGGTTTCAATAATTTATTTAAAAAGATGTCAAATGAGCGAATAAACCGAAACTATAACACTTTTTATAGTTAATATGCATCCCATGAAATTTTATCATTTCAAAAATGTTTGCATTTAGAACTACTATTGTATCAATTTATTAGATTCACTTAACATCGTTATACTAAAAAAAGACCTTTTTTATTGCCAGATACATCTTCAATACGTAACTTCTTTTCTTCTCATGAAAAGATATATGATACATGCCATTGGACGTGGCAAATATCATTCTATTCTTTGTTTCTCTCACCAAACTTTGACATATACTGTTGAGCTTTGCCTAAACTTTGAATTAAATTTGTTCATACTTTTCTATACCAATACTTTTCTAACTATGCTAGATAACTAATGCCACTGCCCTACTGATTGGCATCTACAACAAGATCTTTATCTGAGTTAAATACCAAAAACCACCATATTTATTCTATGGTTAGCATCTACAGTAGAAATTTAAGATTCATAGAGTGCTTTGGAAGATTCTAGAAAGTTCCAGTATGATCTAAGCACTGTTTTTAGTAATGAGCCTTTTCGTGTTGCTAAGAAAACTTATCCAATGATTGCTGGTCTCCCATCCGCCTTTACTAGGGAAATGTATCCAATCATTGTTGGTTTTTCCCCTCTTCTTTGTTGTTAAGAAAACATACCGAGTGATCTCTGGGCTTTCTCATATAAGCCCCAGTCGCTAGGGCCTTATTGAATGTAAGAAGCTACAAACAAAATCTCGATTTAAGCTTACAGTCACTATTTTCTTTGAGAATGTATGTGAATTCCACCAAATTAAGGCGAGACTGATGTCGACTCTGTACATGCACTCTGTAGCAAGCGAAAACTTTGGAGATCAAAAGTAGTGCATACAATTATCGGATTCTAATAGTCTTCTCTACACTGGCGATGAATGTGTTTGTAAGTATTCTGTTGTGACAAAAAAATGAAACATTCCGATCACTCTTACAGTTCTGGCATACAGTGGTAAATATTGATGTGGATATGTGTGGGTGCATAAGCATTTTTTCCACTACACAGGGCATTCACACCCATATAAACACTCACTGTTTAAAGAACCTTTTGCTGCGTTATGATAGGAACATCTTTTTGAACTTGTATCATGCAAAATTATTTTTTGAGGATTCTCTCGTTATTTTAAATACGAATGAATTGTTCTTCAAAAATGCTAGACTTCTGATTTGTAATTGACGTTAGAGACAACAACAGCAACGCCAATAACTACAAAAACTACAACAACAACAACAACAACAAAAACTACAACAACAAAAACTACAACAACAAAAACAACAACAACAAAAACAACAACAACAAAAACAACAACAACAAAAACTACAACAACAAAAACTACAACAACAACTACAACAACTACAACTGCAACTACAACAACAACAACAACAACAACAACAACAACAACAACAACAACAACAACAACAAGTACAACTACAAGTACAACTACAAGTACAACTACAAGTACAACTACAAGTACAACAACAACAACAACAACTACAACTACAACTACAACTACAACTACAACTACAACAACAACAACAACTACAACAAGTACAACTACAAGTACAACTACAAGTACAACTACAAGTACAACTACAAGTACAACTACAAGTACAACTACAAGTACAACTACAAGTACAACTACAAGTACAACTACAAGTACAACTACAAGTACAACAACAACAACAACAACAACTAAAACAACTACAACTACAACTACAACTACAACTACAACAACAACAACTAAAACAACAACAACTACTACTAGTAAGTAATACGATAAATAGCTAAATCCTGCTTTCTACTGCGGTTTCATAAAAAAATTCGAACATTTGGAAATTCTTGAACTTCCCATATGCAAAGATTGTCGAAGTAAGTCAAAGTTACGCTTTAAAGATGAGCGTGGGAGTAGAGAAACTCATATCCATATTCACAATGGGACTCCTAAAGAGATATTGGAAGAAAAAAAATGCTATCTTTAAAGACTGTGAGTTTAAAGACTATTTGAGCTGAGAAACAAGTGCATTGAAATGCAAAAAGTTTTGAAATTAATATCAATTGAAAACACTTTTGATTGAAATTATTTTGAACTATTCACTATTGAAAAACAAAATCAAATAAAAAATGTATAGGTCCTTTATTTCTAAAAAGACAAAAAAAAACATCCAAAGAATGCGAAGATTCCATTTTGTCCTGGCTTTGACATCTGTCACGTCATTGGTGTTTGAAGAAAAAACCATCAATATTTCGGTCATTTTCCAAGAGATGGTGGTTGACATTTCGCGGATTCTAAAGGAGTTCATTACAGATCGTGCTTAAGAGAAGATTGAATGGTTTAATTATTTTTAAAAAAGCCAAAATGGAACAATCTCTTGAGACTAGGGATCAGGATGGTTTAAAAACGAACTACAGAGAGACTCACACAAATATACATAGAGAGACATTTATTTAATGAATCTCTAGACACGAGGTTTTTCTAGTCTTGCGAATAAGATTAAAAGAGTTGCAAAAGTCGAGACAAAAAATAAAACAATGATTCATATTCATAAAGACAATGATTAAAAAACGTGTTTCAGACAGACGGGCATACAAAATCAATTATTTACCGTTCCGCAAACTCTAGACACAATCTAGAGAAAATATCAAATGCATAATTGTTGAAATATTTATCTCAGAACATACATATTGAGTTCCAAAAATGCATGTTGTCTGTAATGGTCTATGGAGAAGGGATGAGCCCAAGTTTCTTACTATATACTTTGAACACTAATTTTCCACTATGTTTCCAAAAGTAACAGGGCAACAGATCTACTAATGCACACGGTACTCCATCTGAAAGAAATGACTTGTGTCCAGATGTTGGCCATTGGTCCCTAGGTGCCAATTACTTTTGCTTTTTACTTATAACCTTCTTCACATTTTTCACCCTTCTATATCTACTACTCTCTGTGGCTGATTTCTCTTGTTCATATAATATTATTCTTAAGCCCGACTCTTTCTGTATTGAATGCTTGCATTGGTTTTATTACAGATGAAAATTGACAAATACATTCAACAGTTTCAGTGCTTTTTGTTCATACCCAATATGATGCAAATAATAGTTTGATGCGAGCGGTGAGACATTCTAGTGTCATATTGGTCATTTCAATATCTTTTTGTCATAAATGATACAAAATATACTCGTTTATTGCTAGAATCTTTGTCGAGATTGATAGCATTATAAATTTATTCCTCCGTTGCGATTCATGGATCCTGTGTTTTCTTGAAAACGTCAAGGCTATTGAACTATTCTAGAAAGGTTTTATCGCTGACCTATTTTCTTTCACGAGAAGGTGAAAATCATATCTTTCAATTCAATCGAAAGACTACTTTTCTTAAGAATTGCTAGGAAAGAGCCTATGAAAAAATGAAAGTGTTCAATAAGCGAAGGACATTCATTAGGAGAATATGCTACAACCCATTGTTTCTTGAATAAATTCATTAACCACATAGATTTTTGAACTTTCTGATGCGATAGTCGTGTTACAGAAAAAATAAATTTAAATTACAATAGATTCAATCAAGAATGATAGATAAAGGCAAAAGGGGGAACAATAAAACACTAAAACTAAAAGTGTTTCTTTTCTTCTGCTTACTTTGACGCTTTTGTCTGAGTAACTGTAAGCTGGAAACAACGAAGATCACACTGTACATTCACTATTTAGAAGTGAGTTCCACACAATAGAACACATCACCGTTTATTTGAGTTGATAGATCAATGTATTCAAAAGTATATTTTGAAAGATAAGCCTCATTCTATATCGCATTTTGAAAACGCTAAAATTTTTCTCCATAAAGATTCGAAAGCGGGCTGAAATCGATTTGTCAACATACTACGAAGATACTGCATAGTTCAGAAGATTTTTGATTCAAGCACAACTTATCATATTCATTTAGGCACTTCTACGACGAGAACTACAACACTTCTAACTAAACCACTGTCAAATACAATGTTTGCTTTCGTTCATTACTCAATATCTAACGACCACTTCAAAT